GTTTGGCATGGCCTAGTGGGACAGAGGTAAATAGTGATGCATACTCAACCTTGGAACAACAGGGCTCTGGGATACAGGGATCTAGGTATAGCTTCCTGATGCTTTTTAACAGAAGGGTAGTTCTCTAACCCAGCACTACCACCATCTACTTACCCCTTCTCTGAATTCCTTTTTCTGTCTCTCTTTTTGTGTGCGTGTGCACAAGACAGTGGAAACGACATTTATTACTGAGCGGGGGTGGGGGGTGGGGAAGGGTGAATGGCAGTCACGTCCTGGGTGCCTGCTTTCTCTCTCTGTCCTCCTGGGCTTGGATTTTGAGTTCCTCATCAAGGCGCTCCTTTGCTCTGACCACCTTGAACTGTAGGTAGAAGGAGACGCTCACAGATTTGTCATTCACCTTGAACAAGTGTTCATAGTTCTTCTGGATGTCCTCAGGGCTCAGCTTGGAAATGTTGAGAATCTGTTGGGCCTCCTGCAGGCTGAGGCCAAAGAGGTTGGAGGCAGCAGCTGAGGCCAGAGAGATTGGAGGCAGCTGCCTTGCTGGCTGCAAATTCCTGCCACAGGGCACAGGCAAAGGCCCTGCCCACACCACCTGCACGCTCATTACAATGATGTAGGCCAGGTACTTGGCCATAAGGGCTGCTCTGCCATGGGAGGAGAGACCTCTCTGACGTCCCAGGGCTGGCGCCCCAGCGCAAGGGTAGCCGGCAGGTCCCCTTTTCCTTCTCTCTTGTCTTAAGATTGTAACTATGTACCATTTGGTGCTAAATCAGAATTAGGTGCTGACATTATTAAGACTGCGTTGAGAACATGAAGTTTATTTTTCACAGCTGTAACATGTCATACATTAGGAATACACTTTCTTGTATAACTGTTTTTTTTTCCAGAGTTGATAATTGTCCAGTTTTCTTTGTTTCTTTCTTTTGTTTAGTGTTTTTCTGTACAGATCACTGATTGATCCCCTATTATCCACCAGAACAGAAAAATCTCTGTGTAAGTCCAAACAAATCAAGTATTCTGCCAGTTCCTACTTTTCCTCAAAAGACATCTTTTGTGGTGCCCTCTGCTCGCCTATTCCAAAATGGACCGACTGAACTATCCTAATGTATCATTAATCAAAACAGAAAAATTCCAAAAATGGCTTTCCTCATTCTTATGTAGTGTCACTGAAAGTGCCTTAGGTGTGAACATTAGAAGGCACAAATCAGGTACGTGAAACAGGATTTCATTTTTACTTGTTTGCTTTGGAACAATGAGAATGTGGTGTTAAAATGGGGGTACCACACCCTGCCCATTAGGTTTCTAGACTTACTGTATTCTTCATAGTTTTCTTTTATTCATGAAAACGAACAGCGAGTGGGTGACTTCACTTTCACATTTCAATATTTTTTGTTCTGTAATGATGACTATGGTTTGAAAACTGACACTCGTGAACATGTATTTATGTTGATTGCTTTCCCTCTTAATTATTCAGAAATCGTTGCACTTTTTTTTTTAAAGCAATATGTGTTCTGTTTTATTTACCTGGCGTACATACAATAGATGTTCTACAAGATAAATGAATGGTTTTTTTGTAAGATGAATGAATGTTTCTTCTGTGGCTAAAATTTGCTTCAACAGCAGATCTTTATTCTCTTCTCTCTTTTTTTTTTAGATGCATGCTCCACCACTGTATTTGCTAACTGCACTGAAATTTGATGGCTCTTTTGTTTTTGTCTAGTTTGCTATTGTGTCATGCTCTGTAGCCAAGCCTGAAAATCATTTCATACACATGCAGTTTCAGAGAGATGTATCAAGCTCTTGGATAAGTTCAATGTGTTTAGCTGTGATTGTTCTAATGTTTGAATCCATTCACTCATTATACGTACACATATATTTTTAAATTGTTAACCACATACTTTTGAGGGAGCAGCTAACCTCACTTCCTGTACTTCTCCCACTAATTTCTCATGCTCACAATTAGATGTCAATTAGGATAAAGGGAACACAAGAAGCTTATTGTTGGATATGGAAGGAAATTCACCTGTAGTACAGTTTACTTTGATAATTAATTAAGAATGCCAGTTTGTTAAAAAAAATACTATTTGATTTCCAGTTACAGAATTCTTAACAAAACAGGAAGTTTATAAAGAGTGCTCATTGAAAGTATTTCTTGACTGAGTATTTGAGGAATGTGGTAATCTAGTTCTAGGGAGGGAGATTTTTTTTTTTTTTTCTTTTAAGATATCAAAGCTTTTAAAAACTTGACTCTTAAAATGAATCAACACCAGTTATTTGCAAAAACCAGCCCAAGAAATTGGGATTTATGGCCAAACCAGGCCTGTTCTTCTTCTGATAAGTAAGGTAAGAAACTGTCAAAGAATTCTGCAATAACCCATATCAAATTTTAAAAAGAGTTACTTTTTAAAAAAAAACCTAAACTTCAAACAGAGGTTAGCTAAGAAGTCTGTGGATCAAAGCCAGTACATTGCCTATGTTTTAAAATAAAGTTTTATTGAAACATAGGGCTGCTCTTTCATTTATATATAGTTCTGGCTGTTTTTGTTATCACAGCAGGGTTGAGTAGCTATGACTATATGCCTCACAAACACTAACATATTTACTGTGTCTGGTCCTTTTCGAAAAAGTTGGCAAACCTATGGCATAAATTAAATGGGAAAATGACCAGTCATGTAAACTTAAAGCTGTTATCTATTAGTGTTTTTGAATATTTCTTTGACTTTGAAGTGGTAGGTGACAAGAGAAAAAAAAAATTTTTTTTCTAAAACGTATTGGTGAGGGAGAAAACTACAGTGGGGTGAAATGACTTCTAAACACAAGTGTCCATGTGCATCAGAAAGCTACCGTGGAACTTTTGGCTATTACAGCATTGACCTGTCTCATCTTTTGCCACAGGGGCCTATATTAAATGTTGAGGACGCTGCAACTCGGCTTCACCTTTTAAATCGATCAGCTTTAAGATCTGTGCAGGCATTAGCTAGGACACCAGGTCTTCAGAAAGAACAAGTTCCAACATTATCTCCTTGGGGAGAAGTTTTGACACCAATAACAAGCTCTTCTCTTACTCCCTTAAGTCGTAAGCAGGAAGAATATGTTAAGGTGAGTATTTAGCAGATGCTATCAGACATTGTTTCGTTCTGCTGTGCATAGAGTCTCTATGAGTGGGTGCCGACTCGATGGCACCTACCAACAACAACAACTAGAAGTAAGTATTTACTGCATTTGAAATAAAGTGATTCTCTATATGCATCTGGACGATTTAGTGTGTGTGCTTTTACTACAGGTTGCCAAAACCCTTTTTATTGATGAAGCGTTGAAGCCTTGCCCACGGTGCCAATCTCCTGCTAAGTACCAGCCATATAAGAAAAGGGGACTGTGTAGCCGCACAGCCTGTGGTTTTGACTTTTGTGTGTCATGTTTGTGTGCTTATCATGGGTCTGAAGACTGTGGTAGAAGAGCATCAGTGCCAAGGAACAGGAAAGGCACTCTGCCAGGAAGTGTTCAGAGCAAGCGGAATTTAAAACGCCTCTAAGGCGACTTAAATTCAATGGCACATTGCTCCTATGTAATGTTTTATTGGTCTGACTTAAAATTATGAATCTTTTGAAAGCACGCAGATCTTCCCATTAATGACAGAAGATGATTTCTTTCCTTCCTATTTTGTATATATCATAATATGTGTCATTGGATGTATTCTTTAAAAAGTGATGAGTTTTGGAATTACATTATTTTACCATTATTTATACCCATTTTAGTAACACTTTTAAATAAAGAATTTTTAATGTTGTCATATATATGTATTTTCTTGCTTCATGTAACATTTTAAATTTGCATATTTCATCATTAAAGTGTTTTTCAATCGTTCTTTACAAAATAGTTTCCAAGTAGTATTTAAAAATTTGAACTTAAGATAACTGAGTTTACAGATTTGGAAAATGACTTTACTCAAAATATAAATAAAATTCAGTTTTCAGAGTTCTATTGAATTTACTATTTCAACCTGTCTTGTAATTCAGTGAGTGCCGTATTTGAGTAGACTTCTGTAAAAATGTATTTGATATTGGTAACTAGTCCTCGTGCGATATTGTATGATAAGCACTAGACTGCTAACTGCAAAGTTGGCAGTTCAAACCCACCAGCTGCTTCAGTCTCTATGCGTTGGAACTGACTTGACTGCATTTAACAAGAAAATATAAAAAGTAAATTATGGGAAATACATGGTTATCTATAATGGAAGTCATAAGGAGCTCTGGTAGCGTAGTGGTTACAAATCGGGCGGCTATCCTCAGGGTCAGCAGTTCGAAACTACCAGCTGTTCCGTGGGAGAAAGATGAGGCTTTCTGCTCCTGTAAAGATTTACAGCCTCGGAAACCCTGTACAGGGTCGCTATGAGTCGGAACCGACTCCACGGCACATAACAACAACAACATAGTGGAAGTCATAGTTCATAAACTCTTTATAAATAACGTTTCAATACATATTTTGAAAATTTACATAATTATAGTTAGATATTGCATTTGTTTAATGTCATTAGGTACTGTCAAATCGGTTCCAGCTCATGCACAACAGAACAACCTTATGCACAACAGAAGGAAACACTGCTCATTCTTACACTAACCTCACAATCATTGCTAAGCTTAAACCCATTGCTGCTGCTAATTGTGCAATCCATCTTGTTGGGCGTCTCCCTCTTTTTCGCTGATCCTGCACTTTTACAAGCATGATGTCCTCCTCCAGGGACTGGTCCCTCCTGATAATATGCCCTAAATATGATAGATGAAGTCTGGCTGTCTTGACTTCTAGGGAACATTCTGGTTGTACTTCTTTCAACACAGATTTGTTGGTTCTCTTGACAGTCCCTTTAAAGTTCTTCTCCTACACTATAACTCAAATGTATCAATTCTTCTACAGTTTTCTTTATTCATTGTCCAACTTTCACATACATCCGAGGTGATTGAAAATACCATGGCTTGGGTCAGGTGCACCTTAGTCCTCAAACTGACATTTTTGCTCTTGAACACTTTAAAAGGTCTTGCGCAGCAGATTTCCCTAATGCAATATGTTATTTAATTTCTTGACTGCTGTCTCCATGAGTGTTGATAGTGGATCCAAGCAAAATGAAGTCTTTAACAACTTCAATCTTTTCTCCATTTATGATAATGTTATTTATTCATCCAGTGATGAGGATTTTTCTTTTCTTTACATTGAGGTGCAACCCATACCAAAGGCTGTGTGGTCTTTGATCTTCATCAGTGAATATTTTAAGTCCTCTTCACTTTTAGCAAGTAAGGTTGAATCATCTGCATATCACAAGTTGTTAATGAGTCTTCCTCCAATCCTGATGCCATATTCTTCATATAATCTGGCTTCTCAGAGTCTTTGCTCAGTATACAGATTGTGTAAGTACGGTGAAAGAATACAACCCTGGCGCACACCTTTCCTGATTTTAAACCATTCTGTGTTCTGTTGTTATTTTTTAACAACTGCCTTTTGGTCTATGTACAAGTTCCTCATGAGCACAATTAAGTGTTTCAGAATTCTCATTCTCTGCAAAGTTGCCCATAGTATGTCATGATCCACACAGTCAAAAGCTTTTGTGTAGTCAGTAAAGCACAGGTAAATATTTTTTTTTTGGCATTCTCTGCTTTCAGCTAAGATACATCTGGCCTCAGCAATGATATCCTTCATTGCCCATTCTCATCTGAATCCGGCTCGAACCTCTAGAAGTTCTCTGTCACTGTACTGTTGCAGCCAATTTTGAATTATCTTTAGAAAAATATTATTTGCGTGTGATAGTAATGATATTGTCCAATGACTTCTGCATTCTGTTTGGTCACTTCTCTTTGGAATTGGGCAAGTTATGGATCTCTTCCATTCAGTTAGTTGACCAGACAGCTGTTTTCCAAATTTCTTGGCCTAGATGAGTGAGTGCCTCCAGTGCTGCTTCAGTTTATTGAAAGATTTCAGTTTGTATTCTGTTAATTCCCAGAGCCTTGTTCTTTGACAATGCCTTCAGTGCACCTGGACTTCTTCCTTCAGTACCATTGGCTCTTGATCATATGCTGCCTCTTGAACATCGGCCATGTCTTTTTGGTATAGTGACTCTATGTATTCCTTCCATCTTTTTATGATGCTATCTGCATCATCCAATATTGTGCCCATAGAAGCCTTCAGTGTATCAAGCTGAGGCTTGAATGTTTTCCTCTGTTCTCTCAGCTTGAGAAATGCTAAGCATGTTCTTTCCTTTTGGTTTTTTAACTCCAGGTCTTTACATGTTTCATAATACCTGAATTTGTCTTCTCAAGCTGCCCTTTGAAATTTTCTGTTCACAATTTTACCCCCTCATTTCTTCCATTTGCTTTAGCATCCCTATACTAGAAAGCAAGTTTCAGAGTCTATTCTGATATCCATTTTGGATTTTTCCTCTTTTATTGTCTTAATTTTCTTCAGCTTCAATCTGAACTTGAATATTCATAATGTTTCAACAGTCAGTACTCTGTTGCTATCTGACAGTGTTTCACTGCTATTTATATGATTTTCAGTGGCTAAATATTTGAAAGTGGTCTGCCTTTCCTCTTCCTAGTCTGTCTTAGTCTGGAAGCTCAGCTGAAACCTGTCCACCATGTGTGAGTCTGTCAGCATTTAAAAATTGGTGGCATAGCTTCCATCCAGCATTATAGGAACATGCAAATCACACAATACTACAAACTGACAGATGAGTGGTGGTATTTGTTTAACATAGCCTGGTTATTCACATTTTGACAAATTTGGGCTGCAATAGTAGACTCAAACATACAAATACTTGTCATGATGGTGCAGACCCGGCAGTGTTTTGTGCTGTTGTCAGTATGAATTGGAACCAACTTGACAGCACCTAACGACAAGAAAAGATAATTAAAAACAAAAACCTTTTATTGTGACTTGAGTGAAGGTTTGCAGAGCAGATCATCAGTTTTACATTCAACAAATCATATGCTTTGCTTCGTTGCAATGATTGCAGTCCACTCCATGTGGCTAGTCGTTACCTCTATTCAGTTTAAGTCTTGCATTCCTCCTTGTGCCTTCCACTATCTTCATCTTTCCTTTGCTAACCTCCTTCTCTGCATATCGTCTGCCCTGTCATCATGTCAACATGTGTCTCTGCTCTAGTCTGTGAATAATGTACTTTCTCCTCTCCCCCCGTGACTATCATAGTTTGTTTCTTTTATCCAGAAAACCTTTTCTTAATTTTTTACATCATTGGTGTCATACAATAGTTGTCCTTCTGTGGTTGACTAATTTCACTCAGCATAATGTCCTCCAGGTTCATCCATGTTGTGAGGTGTTTTGCAGATTCATCGTTATTCTTCAGCGTTGCATAGTAGTCCACTGTGTGTGCCAAAGTTTGTTTAACCAATCTTCTGTTGATGGGCATTTAGGCTGTCTCCATCTTTTTATATCATGAATAGTGCCGCAATGAACATCTTATGACATCCGTTTTGGTTTTTCCTTCTTTCTTGTCTCCTTAAAGTCTTTTGCTTTGTTCCTGTATGATGTTCTTGATGTTATCCCACAACTCTTCTGGTTATTGGTCATTAGTGTTTAATGCATAAAATTTGTTTGTGAGATGATCTCTGAATTCAGGTGGGATATGTTTACAGTTAAATTGTATTGTTCTAGCATACTACTATTGAGAGATTTATCTTCAAGTTCACTTATTCGGGCTTCCATTGCTTCAAATCTACTGCTTTGCCCTTTCAATGTATTGTCCATTTCGGAAATCTTAGTATTAATCATCTGGATTTCTAATTGCAGGGTTTGTATTATTTCAGATTTTGCATTTATTTTGTCTATTTTTTCTTGTTAATGTTTTCCTGAATTCTTCTAAAGTCTTTTCCGTGTTTTTCTTGCTTTCCTTGATATTTCTGCTAACCCTTTTCAATTACATTACCTTCTTTTTGTCAGAGATTTTCTGGCTCTGCATCTTAGTCATTTGTTTAAACAATTTTCTCTTGTCTCTTCATTTGAACTAAAATTCTAGTCTCCGGGACATTGTGGGGTTGTTGTATTTGTATTTGATTTATGATTGTATGTTGATGTGTTCTTAGGCACTCAACAACTGTCTCCTGTATGTGTAGTTAGAGAATGGAAGCATGTACACTTTTCTCATTCACACTTCTTGCACCTCAGTGAAGGGTGGGTTTTGCTCATGTTGGCTGCTGTCTGTTATTTATCAGGTGGTATAAGAACTGGTATTGGTTCTTGCCCAGTGGGTGGAGCTGAAGAGAATATAGTTATGGCTGGGCTGCCTGGGTACAGTTTATGTCTCTTGTCTGCTGGGAAAGAGAAAACCTGTCCCCTACACACACACAAGAAAACAAAACAGAATAAACAAGCAACCAAGAACGAAAAGATAAAATAATAAAAAGGAAAATGAAATTAAAAACAGACAGCAAGAAAAAAACTCACATAACAACTCTAAAGACAAAAGAAGGACAAGGAAATGGAGCAATAGAAGAGAAAAATAAGAAAATGAAAGGAAGGAAGAAAAAC